GGCCGGTAGGTAGCATCGTCTCCCACAGCGGCGCTGCAGCCACCGGGGAGAAAAGAGAGATCAAGTTACCGAGTCAAGTCATTGAAAGATCAAGTTACCGTGTAATGATAGTCAACTGTTCAAAGTACGCGTATTTTTTCATGGACTTCCCGGGGCGAATATTGTGTCAGCGTCACGGTGAAACAGTGAAGCTAACTGTGGTACTGCTGAATCGGGACACTGAAATGGGACAAAGTTGTGTCCCACAGTGATGTTGCACAGTTGTGATGTATAATGCATATGTCATATCACAGATAACAGTAGTACTGTTATCTGTGGTCATATATATGCGTCCGGAACGTGCTATTGCACGTTCAGTGTGATAGTGATATCTTTTGTTTGTAATTTATTGAATAAAGCGTTGTCCAGCTCGCTTTTTGTGCGGGCGGCTGTTGTTTTAATATGTTACATGAGGCGAAAATACGGCAGTGTGAACGATTATTTCAGACACTGGTGTTGAGAAAATGGTGGAGGAGATGGTTGAGAGCAGCAGCTGCAGTGCCCACGAACGAAGCAACAACCCTCAAACCGAGGGCCAAACCAGTATTCCAATCAGTAGCGGATGTTTGGAACCGATGAGCCACAGAAACATCAGAAATAAGACGTCTCAAGTCGATGCAGTCGAGGATCAACACGTACCTAAATGTCATCATCATCATCATCATTTATTTCGTTTGGAACTCCATATTCACGGCTATTCTGTCCAAGTGTCAATACATAAATACATATACGCTGAATGGTAAAGATGTTAAAGGAAAAAAAGTACAGCACGTATGACGTGGTATCACACATTATAAGAGCCTAAAGCGCCTTCCTAAAGCGCCTGCGACACCCAGCAGACGTTTTACTGTCACGCACATCCAGGGCCAGTGAGTTCCAGCGTGCAACGGCGCGGTACCGGAAGAACCGCCGCGCCTGCTCGGTGCGGGGTTTCGGCAGCTGGAGCAGGTCGCTCTCAGTGGCACGAGTCTCTCTACTAGAGACGTCACTGCGGCGCTCGAGCCGCTCCGAGAGACACCTCGGCGCACTGGTATTGTTAACCAAGTAGTGAACAACACCGCAGTCACTCTCCGCCACAAGCTCGTCTATCTGGGGCCACCCGAGCTCCTCCAACAGCGGAGTCACGTGTGCTGAGCGGCGCGCTCCCATAACCACCTGTGCGCAGTGATTAATAACTCGCTGCACGCGGCGACGCTGAACAACGCCACAGCCCGACCAGACCGACAAACAGTAGCGGATGTGGGGGAAGATCAGCATCTCAACGATCAGTTTCTTCACTTCTTTCGGTAAGCATCGCGAAGATTTACACAGTCCTCCTAGTGTGGCGTAGCATCGGCGAATCACCTCCGTCACATGTGACTCAAAGGTCAAGCCAGAGTCGACAATTACACCCAATACCTTAATGCTAGCGGAAGTTTGAATAACATCATCTCCAAACAGTACATTAAAATCAAAGTCAAGCTGCCTCCTACGTGATTTTACAACTAACAGTTCGGTCTTTTTGGGGTTGATTTTTAGGCAGTTTTGAACAAACCAATGACTCGCAATGTCTAAAGTACTTTCGGTATCTGTCTTGAGCTCTAAAATTCGCTTCGGTGATGCTAGATGTAAAAACTGAACGTCATCGGCGTACATCACTATTTTGGAGTCGACATAGGACGCAAGATCGTTTGAAAATAGCAAAAATAAGATCGGTCCCAAAAGTGATCCCTGTATCACGCCGTGGGTGATTGGCTTCACCTCCTCACCACCCCGCACCATCTGGCACCTGTCACTCAACCAGTCACGGAACCAGTGTGCGCTAATACCGTACCAGCCCAGCTTCTCCAGGAGCCGGGGATGCTGGACACTGTCAAAAGCCTTGCTAGTGTCGGCGGTCGTGAGAGAACCGATGAGACCGTCATCCAGACCATCCATGAGAAAACTGACAGTATCCAGCATCGCCGACTCCGTGGATCGGCCGGGCCGGAAGCCGTGCTGCACCTCGGAGAGAATATTGTGCGTGAGCAGGTAAGTCATCAGCTGACCGCAAACAACACTCTCAGCGACCTTAGCGACAGTTGACAGGAGCGACAGCGGACGATAGTTAGACGGGTCATCCATCGAGCCAGACATATGCAACGGTATGACATGAGCCACTTTCCAGTCGGCGGGTAACTTTCCAGACACCAGCGACGAGTTAATGACCTTTAACAGATGCGGGCCTATCACTGGGAAAGTCATGCGCAGCATACCTATCGTGATACCGTCACCACCACTCGCATTAGACGCTGACATACGTTTCACGGCAGCTGACAGCTCTGACAGTGTCACGGGGTGGACGCGGAAAGCGCCGCTGACCACGCGAGGCGGCCGCGGCGGCAGCGGCTCGGTCACGCGCTGCGCCTCCTCCAGCGCGGCGGCCACGCTCGGGCCGACCGACGCGAAGTACTCGTTTAGTCTGTCAGCCCAGCGAGGGCCACTCGGAGATGAAGACGCAGAAGACGCTCCGGCTCTAGGTGAGATGAGGAAGCGTCTGATGTCCTTCCACGTGGTACGGCGCAACCGGCGGTAAGATGTCAGAAAGAAGTCTGACTTGGCGCTGATCTGGGCGCTCTTCACTCGGTTCCGACAGAGTCTGTACTGCTGGGCCGCTTGCTCGTCAGCCGGCTGAGCACGTCTCTCAGCGTCGGCCAAGTCACGCTCTCTCATCATGGTCTGCAGCTCGTCGTTTTCGGTGATCCATGGCGCCGGCGAGTGTCTCGGTCTGATCTTCTTCTCAGGCATGTGTCGGTCAATGACCGGCGACCACACCGCCAGCCATGCCTTCCACTTGTCGGCAGGATCAGTGGCGCCGTACACGGCCGACCAGTCGGATAGTAGCAGCTCCAGACAGAGAGCGTCCGGCACCAGGTCTCGCGTGGACCTGATGGTGACCTCCGCGGGACGGCGGCGCTCCCGCTGGAGGGTGGTCTCAGCGATCACCAGATCGTGATCCGACCAGCTGCACGGCTCCACTCTGGTCGCCGTGATGTCATCAGATTGCCGCACTAGGACGTGGTCGATCAGACTTCCGCTAGCCGGTCGAGTTGGACAGCTGACCAGCTGCTTCATGTCCATGGCGCTGATCATCCATGCAGGTAGCGATGAACATCGGCCTTGTCGGGTTTGAGTGTGTCGAAATTGGTGTCTCCGAGCACGAAAACAGGCTTTCCGGTGCAAATAGCGTGCGCCAGCTGGGTCTGGAAGTCCTCAATAGCGGCGGTCACTGGGGCACTCGGTGGGCGGTAAATGACTCCGACTACCACCGTGGTGACGCCGCGCACACTGACCCACAGAGACTCAAGCTGGGAGTCACCGGTCGGTGTCGATAATGTCTCGACTCGCAGCGAGTCCCGGTAGACCACACAGACTCCCCCTCCTCTCGCACGACCGGAGGGCGCAGGGCGGTCACACCGCAGCACCTTATAGCCAGGGAAGATCAAAAAGCTGCTGTCGATATTCTCGTTTAGCCATGTTTCAATAAGACCCAGAATATCGATAGACATCGTTTGCAGAGTGCAGTTCACATCATCTATGGATGGCATTAGCGAGCGCACGTTGAGGTGTGCTATCTTCAGTGTTGACCGGATGGGCTGGCCAGTGTTGGATCTGCTGTCAACCGCCGCTGAGTTCACCGGCCGTCTGCCGGCCCGCTCCGTCTGTTTCACCGAGAGTCGCGGTGGGCAGGAGAGGCAGCGGTAGTGCTGGGCCGTCAGGCGAGCGGGCGAGACCGGACACGGACAGCGTGCACGGGAGCCCGCGGAGCCGTCAGTCCGGCTGGGGTCACGTCTCCCCCTGCTCCGCCGCTCCTGCACCCGGCGGCCAGCTGCGTGTTTCTTTTTTCCAACCAAAGGAAGACGCTATACCCGAAGATGCTTCTTGGTAAACAAACCAAACAAAAACAAACATAACCTAACCTCACCTGACCTAACCTACAACCTACAAACCTACAACCTACAACCTAACCTACAGACCTACAACCTACAAACCTACAACCTACAAACCTACAACCTACAAACCTACAACCTAACCTACAACGCGCCAAAAAGTTCGGCCGGCGGCGGGGATCGAACCCTAGTTATAAGATCGCGAGGCGAGTGTGCTCACCACTACACCACGCAGCCAGCTGGCCGGTGAGAGGTGTAAGTCAGTTTTGAATGACGCAATGGGATATTCTCCGTATAGCGCCTTCCTTTGGGTGGAAAAAAGAATTACGCCGGCCAGCTCGGGCCCCGCGGCGGCGGCCAGCTCGCCGCCCACCGGCGGTCTCAGGACGGCGGCGAACGGCGGCCGCTCTCCCCGGCCCGGCCGCACCCCAGGCCCACGGTCTGGCATCGCCCCTGATCGGGCGCTGCGGCCACAGCCAGAGGGGCGGGTGGCCTTGACCACAGACCAGGTTCGGTAGAATACGGTGAAGGGTGTTGTGCCGCACTGATTGGTGGTCAGTCTTTCCACCTCTTCCCAGACCGGTAGAATGTGGCGCGGCCGGCCAGGGTTCGCGGCCCATATCCAGTGCCGGGCGACAATGTAAACAAACATTGATATGGCTAAAATACTAATGATCGATGGGTAAGTTTCAGCTATGTCCTGAAGTTTCAGCTATTTCTTTTCGCACCGACAACTTTCAGCCTGAATAAAAGTTACCACATGAGAGAAAATAATTCTCTTTGCGGCTTCAACAACGTGTTTCAGAAGTTAGATACAAAACAATTTGAGCATCTTAAGAAACGCCCTCAATATGTATTCTTTAACAAAGCACAACAGCCCGCTGGTAATATTTGTCATCTCAAAAGACAACTGCACACACCCTTCTTCAGTAAAAATTCAGCTTGCTGTGGGAACTGAATTATTCATTTATTCGGTCCAAATATAGGTGGCAGGTGCTTCCGCTGAAGAAGCACGAATGTTCTCTCTCGAAAATTAAGAAATTCAACCAACAAGGAAATCGTTCGGAAATCCCTTCGGGAAATCGAATACCTAGGTGTCTCTGGTTAAAAAGCTATGCAACATAGCTCTAACAGTAAAAACACATTCATTAGGTCTTTTTAGAGGAAAATGATTTTTAAACCATTTAAAAGCCATCAGTACCACATAATCTTTTCCATCTTCTAGCAAGCACAATCATGCCGATATCAATCCTTTAATGCAAAAGCTGCGGTCAGTTGTCACATTACACGGCTCCTTATCAGAATTATGGAAGAATTGACTACGGAACCGCAGCCACCGCTGGCGGCCACAAGACTCCGATCGGTCCGGTTAAATGTGAAAGATGGGATTTCACGTAAGGTAAGCTTTCACTGCTCATGATCCAGCGAGTATCAGGTCAGCCCGTCCGCAACGATCCTAGAGCCCCGTCTGCGGCCCGCCCGCCGTTGACTGCCAGGGACGCGCACATGGGGACAGACCAACCGACCAGTGACTCCCTTCCCCGAATCGAACTTTAGGGCCGAAGGCCGCCTCAAAATGAGTCGGAATTTATTCGCGTTAAAATATATTAAATGACGACTGAGATAAAGCATCTGTATGATCTGTTACTAGAGTTATCGAGAGATGATCATTATCACGTCTTCACACAGTCTGGAGATGTCCAGCTAGTCAAAGTAGATCTTACATTAACATGATTTGTGGTATAAGTCACATGTATCAGTAGTCTATAGTATGAAGACTCGAAAGCTAATCGCAAGCCTGTAAGGGCTATCACAAGTCTGGGTCTCAGAGGGCCCATTTCATGCTTGAGAAGGGTTCCTTCGCGCCTAAAATGGCTAAGCTCATTCGAGACTTATTCCTGTCCATAGAGGACCCATCTATATCTAAGGCCTGAGAGTCCAGCTCGTCTGAGAGGTCTGAATGTTTTCATTCAGAGTAAGAAAGGAACATCAGAGAAAAGATAAGATAGGACAAAGAAAAAAGACACCTGCGCTGGTGGCCGAAACCCAATAACACAAATGCTACTTGCAAGAAAACACAGCTCACCGATAACAGCTTGTATTTTTTTCCCAGAGGGCTGGGTTCCGACGAGTCTCTAATCGCTGCATGATCGCCTGGATCGCGGCGCTGTGCTTCACCATTATGATGATGACGAGCATCAGCAGCGTCAGTTCATGGTCGCACACGCGGCAGAGGACCAGCGGCGGAGGCATCGCCAGCTGGCTTCAGGCGGTTAAGACGCACGTCCGGTCGCTGGCAGCGCTAGGGCAGGCGTCCAGCAGCATCACCAAACCTCCGTTATACCCGCCTGGCTTCCAGCTCTCCAACCTCAACAACTTCACCTTCGTCATCAACAACGACGTATGCGGTAACGATCCGGTCGACATAGTGATGGTGGTGACTTCAGACACGCGTCGGCCATCGTGGCGGGCCAAAACTCGCGCAGCACTGCCGTCGTCCGTACTAGCAGAGGTGCGTGTGCGACGCGTATTTCTACTGGCCGAGTTGGCGCCACCGGACAACATCAGCCAAGAGTACGACCAAAGAGTGGCAGCGCTGCAGGCCGAGAACCATGAGTACGAAGACCTCGTTGTAGGAAACTTCCGCGACGCCTACCGCAACCTCACCTTCAAACATCTGATGGGCCTGCACTGGGCTACCGCTTACTGTCCGCAGGCGCGCTTCATTGCCAAGATGGACCATGACATTGTGGTTGATGTATTTCAGCTGACACGTCGGTTGGCTGCGCTTCCGGCTGGAGTGGCAGACTCGAACACAGCGATAGGAACCGTGTACGGGGGCACAAAGCCCATTCGGGAACCCCCAACCACAAAGTGGTACGTCTCGAAGGAGGAATACCCGGAAGATAGCTTCCCAGACTACATGTCTGGATGGCTATATCTGATCACCCCAGATGCAGCTGCCAAGATCGTAGTCGCTGGTAACAAGCAGCCCTTCTTCTGGGTGGACGATGCCTTCGTCACGGGGGTGCTGCGGCACCGTGAGGGGCTCGACATAAATATGATCGACTATGAACGTTTGTGGATGTTTACGGAAAACGACCAGCGCTTCAGGTATGTTGTCCAATCACTTATAGAAAACGAACCAGTGATTTGTAGCAAGGCAAGGATTCCTTTCATTAGCACTAGAAGTCAGCTTTACTTTCGTAGCTGTTTACATTTCCATATCCCCCAGTGACAACCCGCTAACCAAACGCCGTCCCTGTCCACAGTGCCTTTACCATGGAGATGACTTGCGTCTACGAGTGCGCCGCTGAAGTCCAGGCCTCAGTCTCCCACTGCAACATGATGATCGGACCTGTTGGGGACAACAGCGTGCTGCTGCGACTCTTCTACCAGCACACCCTGTACTGCCACAGACATGGCTGTACGCTACGCAGTCCCCAGCCACACGCCTGCGCTCACCACAGCTGGGGTAGCAAGCGTGTGAACATGCCCAGAGACGAAGAAGACCTTGGTGACGTCACCAGCTAGCGAGTCGCCAGCAGATCATGCTGCAGACCCAGCAGAATGTTGTTGGCATTGCCGAACTTGAGCCGCTAACGGCGTCGAGCCAGCGACTATCCATTGTCCCGGCTGAGCGAGCGGTAGGGACGGTCACCAGCCCGCTGCCAAGAAAATGGCAGCGACCGTACGTGGAGAACTGTAGGGGGATGTGGGTGTTCGGGCAATGCCAAGCCATCGCCCCAGTGCGCCTACTTGGCTTTGGGGTCGCAGCAGACGGCCGAAGTCTAGGTCACCCACGCTGGGCGGCAGAGTTGCGGTGCTCGAGCACCCACAGCTCCTCACAACGCTCCACGTATGGCAGCCACCGGGGAGTGGACAAATAACGCGGGTCTATAGAAATCCCATCAAACCCTTCCTCAGCCGCGGCCATCGTCCACCGCAGGACCGCAAGGAGAGAAGAGAAGCATAATCGATTGTTCAATCCGCACGCAGTTTTGCCTGATCCAAGAAGTATGTGGGCACCATAGTGAGGCACTGAAGCTGACTGTCTAACTGTTGAATAAGGGACATAGAAGTCTCCCACAATTATGTTCATTGTTCAATGTCAGTTAGGTGTCGCAGGCGGTAGTGTGCTATTGCACGCCATACTGATCAATGTGATATCTTTTCCGCTTTTCATTGAATACAGAGCCACGTATCTCGCCCGCAGAGCGAGGTACGGTTGTTGTTTTTTTTGTGCGTATGAGTGTGAAAGGTGTCCGAGAGCATGAGCGACACACAGATAGGTACCCAAAGTTGGAGAAGGATGAGCGGAGTACTGCTGCAGTACGAACAAAGTAACGAGCCCACGGGCTTTTGGCAATCCTGTGGCCTGCGGGAGGATGGTAGGAATAGATGATCCACGAAACCTATCTACATCGTTAACATACATAGCTGAGGAGGATCAGGCCCGCTATAAGCCTTCAGAAACAAAAACAAAAAGTGTAGAGGCATCATTAAACAGCAGTCAGACAATCTTTGTATTCAATTACAGCTGTATTTTGTATGTTTGTATGAACACTGAACTGTATGTTTGAATTTCCTAATCAGCCCAACCGGGTGCTGTAGAGAACAGTGCCAGTGCAAAGCCCACTTCTTTTCATGGACGGCTAGGCCGGTCGCGCTCATACGTTGGTGCACTGAGGGGCGGATTAGAGAGAGATGTGAATATTTAATTCTGCAGAGAGGGTGTCAACCACGGCGTAAATCGCCAATGCGCACCCCAAATTATGGTCCGAGAAGCAGTCGACAAATTTTGGAGTCTGAAAGCATCTTTCTTTAATCAGAGCCACGTATCTCACCCGCAGAGCAAGTTACGGCAGTTCTTACTGCAAAAACTTGGAAAAATGTCTGAAAGCATCTTAATCGAAGAAAGGCTAGCCTAAACGTCGCGTGCATATGCACTTGACAAACAAATCGAGGCACCAAGCGCACCAAGAATGCCAAGAATGAGCAGCTTACCGCCTTGAGCTTACCACGATCTATGGCGAGATTTGACGCGGCAGAATGACGTTGTTAGGATGTTAGCCAGGGCCTTGTTATAAGACTAGCCCTATAGCAAGGCCTTGGCTATAATCAAAGCTTGAAAAGTAAAATAACATGAGCCAAATGGCAAGGTAGAAATGTTAGGTAGCTCTTCCTTCATTCGCATTTTGGAATGTTGATTAATCAGAGAAGCAAAGCTGATCAGTTAAATATAAAGTAAGCATTATTTGCAAGTTGCTCATGAATAATTTACTCACACTTGACATATATAATGCTACATAAGCGACGAGCTCACCACAGCCAAGGAGCATGGTGAATATCATCAGCAAACGCAAGGTAGGTAAGGGATAAAGTTACAAAGAGAGGAGGATGCAATTTGCAAACTCGGCATAAGTTTGTTGGTAATATAATCAACCGATAGCATACAGTAACACTAAACTAAAACAAAAAGCATCGTGCAAAACGATCGAACTCAAACTGTTGTTCGAAAGGTCATTCAATATAAAAATATCAAGTACTTATTTTCCATCGTAGCTCTTTCGTATTTTATCTGAGAGCAACGAAGTAAAGTGCGGCAGATGGTTGACGAGCCACCGCACTGTTCGCAGCGGCGAATCTCCAACCGCTGGATGCTGTCCGGGATCGTCGCGCTATCCCTCACCATCGCGGGGATGACGGTCGTCACCAGCGTCATCCAGCAGCCGGCAGCACGACACGAGGCCGCTGCCAACAGCTCCAGCTGGCTACAGGACGCAGAAGAGCACGTCCGGCTGCTGGCTAGGCGTGCCAACGTAACCCATCCACCTCACCCGCGGATTAACCGTCGGCCGAGCATCGCAGACGACAGTTCACAGCTGTGGCCGAGAGACGCCAGCTACGCAGCCGATCGCCTGCGTAGGCGGAAGTCAGCCGGCAGTCTCAACATCACCAAGCCGCCGCTGTACCCGAATGGCACCCAGCTCTCCAACCTCAGCGATTTCACCTTCGTCATCAACAACGACGTGTGTGGCTATGAAAAGGTTGACATAGTGATGGTGGTGACGTCGGACACGCGTCAGCCTTCATGGCGAGCCGAAGTTCGTGCCGCGCTGCCCTCGGCCATACTAGAGGAGTTGCGCATGCGACGCGTCTTTCTTCTGGCCCAGCTGGCTCCGCCGGCTGACAGCCGTATGTACGACCATCGGATGGCTGCTATACAGGCCGAAAACTACGCGTACGCTGACATCGTCGTCGGCAACTTCCTCGACACCTACCGCAACCTAACCTACAAGCATCTGATGGGCCTGCGCTGGGCCAGCGACTACTGTCCGCAGGCGCGCTTCATCCTCAAGATGGACCACGACACCGTCGTCGATGTGTTCCGACTGACCCGGCGACTGGAGGAGCTGCCCGAGGGCACAGTCGGCTCCGACGCCCTTCTAGGCGTGACCTACGCCGGCAGCCAGCCGATTCGCAATCCTAACAGCAAGTGGTACGTCTCGGAGCTGGAGTACCCGGAGAGCACCTACCCCTACTACATGTCCGGATGGCTCTATCTGATCACGCCAAGCGCCGCTGCCAGGCTCGTGGCCGCCAGCAGTAACCAGCCCTTCTTCTGGGTGGACGACGCCTTCGTCACGGGGGTGCTGCGTCAGCATGAAGCACCCGACATCCAAATGCTCGACTTTGAAACCCTGTGGCTCTATATTGATGAAGATGGCAAAGGCTACAGGTAAGCTTCTTGAGCAGGGATCTCAAGGGAGTCGGGTATTGCACTGCGGCAATTGCAGCTCTTCGATAGGGCATATTGCTTGACACGACGGGGATTACCTTCCTGAATTTACAGTCCGTTATCTTCAGAATCCTTTATATCCCACAAATTGCCATAGTTGCTCTAGCATTATCCATGTCTAAGGGTATATGCACTGTGCAGTGTGCAATCTCCCGTAGTCGATTAATTCTTCAACTGAATCCTACGTACATTTTGTGCAAGCCCATTTATCAAGACAATTAAGTTGTAAACAATTAACAAGTCGATCCATGTTTGTACCAGATCATTCGCTAAAGCGTGCTTGGGGAGGGGGAGCGCTTCGCTATGATAACGCAGTACGATAAAGTCGGAAATTAAGCATAAAAACGTCATCTGAAAGTGGAAGAACGAAAAACGTTCATGTCAGCAATGCAGTTACCAAGTGCTATCTAGCATATGTGGCAGAATGTCTTCCTCTACTGAGTTATACAGACTATCGACGACTCACTGAGTGCAATGTTTTTTTTTTTGTCCACAGCCCGATGACAATGTACCTGGCCTGCGTCTACGAGTGCGTCTCTGACGAGCAGGCCTCGGTGTCCCAGTGCCCGGTGATGATTGGGCCCGTCTGGATGAACCCGGTCGTGATGCGTCTGTTCTACGGGCACGCGCAGCACTGCCACACTCACGGCTGTGCGCTCCGCAAACGGATACCGGTTTCCTGCGCCAACGGATGGGAAGGCTACGAACGGCGTAACATGCCAGAGAAGCTCAGCGATATTGGCGATGTCACCGATGCAACCAACAGATGACGATGGCTGCCACTGTTGTTCACGCTGAGTGTAATTATCCAGTCGTGTGGAGCTGTGTTGTGGTTGTGGAAAAAATGGAAAGGAAGAAGTCAACCCCGGAATGATCTGTGACCTGCTGTCCACCGTCGCCCGAAACCTGTCTCAGCCGAGACCCCATGAAAAAAGGCTAAAAAGGTTACAAGCTGTCATTCTGGACAAAACCAGACTCGTACAACAGTCAAAAGAGGACTGGTGATCACCCCCAGGCAGTCGACAGTCACCAGCTCACAAGACCACTGTCCTATGACCGACCAAGTCAGCGACGAGCGCGCTGGAATCCGCTGGGCGTGTTCTATGCCACCTGACACCTACTTCAAACGTTCAGGAAAGAGAAGACACATGGAGCGGACCGCCGCAGGCAAAGCCGACACCGGCTCAGATAATCGTGAGATGCTCAAAGTCGTGTCATTTGCTTTGTTTTTAGAGTCGCAGAGCTGGGTCCAGCGACACCTATTCGTGAATTTGGTGAGCTGCGCCTGTTTTTAGTGACCGATATAAGGACGGGGCTTGTCATAGACGCCTGAACGTACATCAGAGGTCAGCTGGCTATGTGTCAGTGTATGGGAGAGAGCATCCCGGTACGAGTGTAGTCAGTCAGGCAAAGTTAAGCTGAGATGTACCGGCAGCGGGGTGGGCCCGTGTCATCACCGCCGGGCAGCAGAACTCACCTCGTTCATGGTCGCCTCCCGCTCGGCAGGGTTGTAGACGCACGTAAACAGCTGAATCCGATTTATGTCGCCCATCACGTTGGTCTTGTCCGGCGTCTGCTGCACCTTCAGACGAATCTCGTTCTGCGAAGGTGAAACTTTCAATCAGCAGGTGTCTAGATGAAGGTTTTAAGAGGCAAGTTAGGCTCGAACAACACTGCACACACATTGCACTTATAGGAAGTGTGTGCAACATGCCGTTTTCCATAATCCAAAGTGCATTGTCATCTATTTATCACTAATTAAATAGAATGAGCTCCAGCCGAACCGCATTTCTAGTTTCAAAGACAGACTCTGTCTTTGGAATAGCCTCTGAGGCAAAAACAGAGCATTTTGAACAATGGACACTGGACAGTGGACATAGTAATCTCATTATGCAAGCAATACGAAAGCTTCTAGCCACTTGTCAGAACCATCGTATCAGCCCTGCCCCCCCCCCCCCCCCAGAACACTCACATCGAACACCACAGCGCGTGTGTTGATGTCGGTCAGATCCTCCACCAGGGCGATGTCGGGCCTATCCACCGTCAGCTGCAGTGTAAGCATGCCGGCCGCCGCCGCCCCAGCAGCAGTTGAATCACCAGTGGAGGCCGGTGTGGGTTTACGAGGCGCCTCCAGCGTGGTGGGCCGCTGGGGCTTCCCGGTCGCCCTGACAAACAGACGGGCGCAACAACGATTAGAGTAGGACGGGAATGACATACTCGCACACCAGTGGAGAAGTACAGCCAGAATGAGAAAAACAATAGCTCGCAATGGAAGTGAACAGGGCATTGATGAACGGAAGCAAGCAACAGAACATTAAAATCGGTGGCGTAAATGGGAGGATAGAAGAGCAGTCTAGCGAGAAGGGTTTATATATTCCCGACCGGGGCTGGGAAAATGCGTTTTATTCACCGAGGTTTTTGTGCGGAGGACCGAGTGCCGGTAGGCACGAGGTCCGTAGCAAAAAACCGAGGTGAATAAAACTGCATTTTCACAGCCCAAGGTTGGGAAGAGATTTACCACATGCCGTACCGGCGCAACAGTTAATATCATATTCATTTGATATTTTACACTTTAATCTTAATATTGTGTTAATATTATAATAGTACTATGTTCATATTTATAGTCACCGTGATTATTTTTTGTGTTTTTCATTATTGGGCTGCGTTGGGCATGAAAGATGAAATTCCTACTTCCCCCTTATTCAGGGTTTGAAAAAGCTGAGGATGAAGATGGTGAAGCGCCAGAAGTTAGAATAAAGATATGGAGTCCAGCAGGAGTGAGGAAACCGTGAGGAAAACTGAAAATTGGGTGAAACGCTGAATCAAACGCGTCTTGGATCCCAGCTGGAACAATAGGTATCAGATGTTTCATTGTGGCACGTTAAGATGCTTCACGCATTTAAATTGTTCGTTTTTTTTGCGTGCATTATGTAGAAATAATGATTATTCCGACCATGTTCTACAGCAATAAATACATTGACATTGGAACGACAACCTTGTTTAGTTGAATTACGTTGACAGCAAAAGTAAGTAAACACGCAGTCACTTACTTTTGCTGTTGCTGTTAGTGAACACACAATCCGTAAATATCTTCTTTGAAATTGGTTCTTCCGCTCAGAATATTCAGTAAAATTTTGTCTGGGAATATATATTACTGAACGGCTCTGGGAAAGAAAAATGGAAACCGAGGTCTTTAAAAAATTGTAGGCACGAGGCGTAGCCGAGTGCCGGAGATTTTTTGAAGACCGAGGTTTCCATTTTTCTTCCCAGAGCAAGTTCAGTAAGATATTTCCCATACGTCGTTTAATATCTATTCAGAAACTCACAGTTTAATTATTGAAATCACCTTTTTAAGATTTTTATCAAAAAATCACCAGAACTGTAGGTCATCAACCCGTGCCGGAAAACAGTGCAGGAAAGATCACGTGTAAATGTTTCCCGCACGGCTAGGATAATGCTAAAGGGATATCTCGGCGTATGGGAAAATCAAAAAGCCCTAGGGCCGAATCGTTTCCCAAATACCTTCAACATTAGCCGAGGCGGGCCGAAGCCATTTCCCAAATGCACGTGCTAATGTTAAAGGGATATCTCGGCATGTGGTAAAAGCCACAGATAACATGAACTACCTGGCTACCTGGTAGTTCATGTTATCTATGGCTTAAGCCTAACGAGAGACGAGTAGAAAGTGTAACTCGACAGAGTTCTGGCAGAGTAGTCTTAGAGACGGTGTCTATCCCAAAATCGTATGCAGATCTACTCACGGTTTGGCGGCGACCGCCGGCGGACCCGCGTGCCGCTTGTCCTGCTGCTGTGGCTCCGGCATGTTCTTTGTGAAGAACTCCATCAGCATCATCAGGTAGGGCAGGAACAGGATCAGAGACACGCTCGACACGCGCGCCTGGACTGCGAACGGCGAAACGACAAGAGTCAGTCTGGCCCACTCGATGGTTGCGATGGCGATGGCGTGTTAAAAGTTATTGAGGGTATGTAGCTCCACGGATGGCGAGCAAAAGGATAAAAAAGAGCTCCGGTGAAACACATTTCCGATACCTTCAACCAACACTCACGGGGCCAGCCGAGTTGTCTCGAAGACACCACGCACTGGTACGCTCTTTACGGCCTGGCCACCATCCCAGCATTTAACGAATCATGACATGGGCTCCTGAATAAAGCAGCACAGCTAGCCCCCGACAGCGGCAACGAACAGCTGTTGCATGAAGTCACGACCAGCGCGGCGTCCCGCCCGGTCCTATGACACATATACTCACGGTCGCGGTCCTGGTTGGCCTTCTGGCTGTACTGCACGTCAATCATGCGCACCTTGGGCTTTCCTGCTCGAGTCACCTTCTCCATCAGTCGCGGGAAGCACGTCTTCGTATCTGTCGACGGAGAATGGTGAGAGGGCGTCATCGTGTGTGTCACAAATATCATCCATCAGATATAATAGCCACCTAGCCAGTGCTCAGAAATGCTGAGCGGAGCTTACTAAGATCAGTTTTCTGCTAACATCTCGTATGTCATGTAACATTTACAAGATGCTCGATTCAATCGCAAATGCGCTTTAGGATCCCTGGCACAATAGGGGTCCATCCTGGACACTAGCGCCCTCTCAACGAGCAATATCAACAAACCGTCACAGTGGCTACGCTGTATATCCCATAGATATGTCTCAGTAGCGAAACCCCATCAACCATCGCACCTCAGTTCCTACATATTTGGCCCATGAATCAGGGCTTGTTACCCACCTGCCCTTGTGTCCTGCAGCACGCAGTCATCCAATGAGACCCGGCAGCCGAGGGCGCCGTCCGACTCCATCTTCCCAGCCACTGACAGCTGGTGCAGTCCGAACGTGCCCAAAGAGAACCGGCTGTTCTTGCATTCGTCCATCGACTGACAAACAGAGGAGGAAAGGAGCAGTCAATATACGGCCCGTAACAGCCCGAGCGTTACCACAAAAAAAGACTGCTCTTACATTCAATCATCGGCTGACAGACACGAGGGAGGCAGAGGCAGTCAATGTGACGGCTTAATGTCCCTGGTTCATGAAGCTACATACGACATTAACAATATCAAACTAGCGTAGCAGCTTACAATATTTTCATTTGTAAGGCATTTGTGTGTCTGATCTCGATCTCCGACCCTTCTGCACCGCATCCTACCTTTTCTGCCGCGGAGCTGACAAACAGCTCGACACCGACGAACGTCCAATCGAAGCTGAACTTGAGTTTGGTGAACACGGCCCCGTCCTGGCCGGCCGGCGCTTTATCCTTCTCTGCGGTGGCGGCGGTCGAGGCGGGCGCCGCGGAGGGATCCACATCTGCAGTGGTTTCCACCTGAGTGGCGGTCTTCTGAGTCTCTCCACCCTCGATAGGCGGGAGGGCGTCCAGTCCGGCGGTGCCCGGCTCAGAGAGGTTCTCGGCCAGTGTGCGCATGATCTGGGCGTAGTCCTCCTCGCTGAGTACCACCTGTTGGCGGGCGGAGAGAGAGTAAAATATCTTCAGATTCTAGGAGATGTGCAGCTGCACCTACATCACTGACACCACGCATTACGGGAGAGCCCAACCGGAGAGACACTGGGGTGAATCATATTAGCTGCAGCCTGCGTGAATGCCAAACTAGCAGCATCTTTCAGCAGCTGAGCAGGATCCCTTGCATAAATAACTGAGGACAATATTGCGTGGAAACGTATTTAATCTATGACGTTGGCGATATCAACAATAACCTCTGCTGCATAACAAGCATACTGTTATATGGGTACCAAATGCTATTACAAGACACATTATTATTCAACACCCTTCGCCAAGTCCTTCTATTTTCCTTCAAAGAGTGACACCACGCAAAACGCATGACCCACAATCCTGCGTTTGTGACCCAAACTACCCACCTCAGTCCCCTCCTCACCACTAAATTACCGTGACACCACAACTATCCACGCCCCGCCCCAATCCCTCCGACGCCCGCTGAGTAGCACTGACCGCCAGGTCTCCCAGTTTGGCCAGCAGGTCGATCTCGGGCCGCTCGCGGAACCAGCCGGTACTGAGGTTACGCGTCACCTGAACCGACATGGTGACCGGCTTCAGGATCAAACACTCGGACTGCACGGAGCCGTCCTGGCCCAGACGGCCTCTGTCGGAGGGAAGAGAAAGGGCGGGTCAGGCACTGAACGCCCAAGCCTACGGTAACTAAGCGAAATCGATTTATCGATTTATTATAGGCAGCAGAATTTAATGGAATAAGACAAATTTAAATGTCTTCCAACAATATTATACTAGATAGAAGAAAACCGAAGCTCCAAGACTGAGAACAGCTACCAACAGCAAATGAATTTTCAAAACGAAAATACGATATATGGAATAAACCCAGATGGGCATGAGGTTGCCATACTGAATCCTCGTACTGCAGATTCGAGCAGGGGCTCACCTGGAGAACTGAAGGTTGTCCAGTTTCAGTGTCATCACGTCCAGCACGGCTGGCGCGCCGAGGTGGCTGCGCGGCCCGGGCATCTCCAGGGAGTTACTGACGCTGAGATAACCCAGATCGGCCACCAACGCCCAGTCGGAGCTCGAGTTCTGCGGCACCACGATCACCGGCGCCTGCCGTGCGAGAAGAAGGGGAGGTTGGTAGTCGTGCTGCTGTCAGGTCAGGTCGAATTCGGGGAGATTATTCAGCTAGAACGGCTGCAGTGTATTTTCATTTCAATATAAACTATTGTCAATAAGTCAAGAAAATACATCCCACGACAAAAAACTATGTCAGTTGAGACCTCGAGAAACAAGCCTTCGCACTCCTCAAAGCGTAGTGTCTAGCAGACGCCATAAAATACCTTCGCATATTGCAACCATGAACGACGTATGTCTCCTCAGCTCTTAGTACGAGCTCCATTCCTTCGTAAACATATTCGTACCTTCATGGTGATATCGAGCTTGGCCTTGAAGGCCTGGGCGTAGGCGTTCTGCATGGCCTGTTGGGCGGCCTCTGCTGCCGTCTGGGAGGCCTCGGCCAGCGCCGCCTGGGTGGCTGAGAATGGCTGCATGAACGCCTGCGGGCAGACGGGGCACAACAGCGGTCAGCACGGGGGAGGTGAAATGGCAGGCGGGGAGTCTGGGAATCTGGAAAATCAAGTCAGCAGTCGAAGGGAGAAATGGGAGCTTGATTAAAATGTCGGCCGGGTTACGACTGGAGAAGGAAATGACACCTACTTCACCGCTTCGAACAAAATTGCAAAAGTGGATGGCAATTCGGGATTGATGTTTCGGTCATCCACCGAAAGAAGTAGACAAAAGACCCCGAGACACACGACGTGGGCCTGGACCGACGGGTCGGCGACCGGCGGAGTGACGAATGGCGGTGCCGGGGTCCTAATCGAGCACCCAGACGGAACGACGGAAGCTCTGCGAGAGGCGGCGGGAAAAATATGCTCTAGCTACCGGGCTGAGATGGTGGCGCTGAAGACGGCAGTGCGACATCTCCTGGAGCACCCACCCCTCGAACAGGGTATAATCATATGCTCCGACTCACAGGCGTCACTTGCGACGCTGAGAGGAGGACCAGCGGCCCAGACGTCCCCTCTAGGTGCCGCCATCTGGGAGCACATGGCGGCACTGGTGGCTGACGGGGACCGAAGGGTCCACCTCCAAAGGGTGCCGTCCCACTGTGAGCTGGAGGGAAATGAGCGGGTGGACGCTATCGCCAAGGAAGCCGCCGCCCTCCCACAGCAGGGAGTCCCGGTTGACGTCCGCACAGTGTACCGTGCGGCGTCCCGGATGGCCAGAAAGGAGGCGATCAGCAACTGGCCGGACGGCTGGTATAGGCGGCTGATGGACGGCCACCTACCCGCACCGCTGCCCAGCACTACTCCACGAGAGGTGGCGGTTGATGTGCACCAACTGCACGCTGGTCACTGGTCGGGATCTGCGCAGTACCTGCATCGGATCGGCAGGAACCCCGGCCGGGACTGCGCGCAGTGCAACTCGCTGACGTGCCGGGCGGCCGGCTGCCGCTGCTGTGGCGAAGAGGAGGCAGACACGCCGGAACACATCCTGCTACGCTGTCCGGCACTGATGCGACTACGCCTACGACATCTAGGCAACATACACCCGAGTGAGGAGGAGGTCCGAGGCAGCGGCCGCCGCCAGGTACCTCCAGAGCCGAGAGGCTACGTAGCGACCGCTGCGTGGGGAACAAACAACAACAACAACAACAGACACACGCTCATAGCCCATTTACTCAAAAAGAGCAACCGATTGTGACATCACTACGATACATAAGGCACTGCTCGGCCGAGGAATGTCACTCTCATCCACCCGAACTCACCAGCACGTCCGTGATGAACCGGTTAGTGAAGAGCAGCCTCGCTCCTCCCAGCTGCGCCGACAACTCCAGGTCGACAAAGGAGGGCTCCGGCTCCGGCGGACGGTTATACAGCTGCAGCTCCGCGCGGAACACCTCGTCGGAGGTCATACTTAGCACCTGAGGGAGGGGGACCAGAGGTCATACTCAGCATCTGGGAGAGGGCGGGACGTCGGAGGTCATACTCAGCACCTGTGGGAGGGTAGGACACCTGAGGTCATACTCAATACTCGTACATGCAGAAGGGCACAAATTTACTAACGTTCATGGTCATAATCCGGTTCAGTTTCTAGTGTATGTAGAGCGGGATGTTTCTCATCTTTTGGGCACATCCCAACTTTTTTAATAAGAAATTAGCACCAAGACCCGGCTCGCCACAACTCATCAGGCAATATACCATCCCAATCCACAACCTCGCCTCCCTCGCCCCCCCCCCCCCAATCCCGATCATTCAGATCCCATCCCACCATTTTCCATCCCACATTGTCCCGTCATCTCCATTATCCAGTCATCCTCCACCTACCTTATCGCGTTTGATGTTGGGCGTCAGGTCGGTGACGGCGAACTGCCGCAGGCTGGCGGAGAGCTGGGTACGTCCTGGCCGCAGCTCGGCGCCCAGCTGCAGGTTGGCCATGTCCAGACCGGCCACCCACACCCGGCTGGAGGAGAGCTGTACGCGGAAGTCGCTGAAGCACGCGTCCAGGCGGATGTCGATGTCATCGCTGGAGGCGGAGCCGTGCCGGCGCGCGGCCGCTGTCGATGGGGAGAGCGAAGTTAGCGGGGCACGGCATTGCAGACTTGGAGATGAAGGGCGTTACTCAATACTTAAGATGAAGAGGGAGTTGTCAAGGGGTACGTCCGGCGTGGTGTGACGGAAGTGGGGTGGGCAGAGAAGAGAACCTAACCGACCAACCGACAGATGAACGAGAGATCCTGCTGAAATGAACTCATGTTACGAAGCATCAGAGGTAAACAAAAAAAGCAGTACTCTTCTCCAGTAATGGTTGTATATTTTACTGCGAAGACGTGTGAGTATTGACCATTTAAACATCAGCCTCCAATCCCTCCTAGCTCTCTCTTACTGACCCGCTCGTTTCCCGTTCGTCGACTCCGTCAGGGCGGTCGTGGCCGTCACAGCCGGGGTCGTCGCCGGCTGCTCGGGCCCAATGCTGCTCAGTTGCCGTGACAGGGCGTCTCCAAAGGCCATCAGGGAGCACAGCGCCGCCTGGTGGAGCTGCACAGTCAGCTCGCTGAAACTGAGCTCGACCAGCTGCGCCACGCCGCCGTACTCCGAGTGGAACTTGTCCCAGGCGCGGTCCACCTGGGTAGGAAGGGAAGAGAGCAGGTCAGCTCACAGACCTTGGTACAGCGCCTCGAGGCATAACAGTGCAAAGCGATAGCAAATTTAGTCATCAGCGAAGACCAAATCAAGAAGCATCAGGACGCGAAGACCAAATGCAGACCGTCATATTGATTCAGCCAGGATTCCATCCACGAGTTACCTTGGTGTATTTGCAGCTGAGTAGCGGCTCGGAGCGTCCTTGGGTCATCGGTGTACTGACCAGGTACAGCTGGCCACCGTCCGGGTCCTGGAACTCGTGGTTCTAGACGGACGGAGAGAGGACAGTAGTCAGTGGCCGGTAGCGGGGAGAATACATCACTCAATAGTCTAACCATATGCAGCTGGCACATGTTAACAGCATATAGCGAGTGACTCCACGTTGACTCTGATTACATTCTGACCAAAAAAGGTCATCTACCAGAGCAGCTCAAAGGTCACGACAAAGCCCCTCCCCTCCAGGTTGCTACCACCGCCGTCCCAGCCAGACGATTCCCTGAGCGTCACGCCAGCCAGAGCTGACGTGATCATCTCTCTAGTCTCCTCCCAACCCGCTCCCCTACAGTAATTTACGCCCCCCGTCCCATCGCCAGTACCTTGAGCGTGAAATCGGCTAGTGTGGTAGTAACCTCCGTGGTATGAGCACGCACGACTGTACCTTTAGTGTGACGCCTGCCAGAGTAGCGGTAACCTCCGTGGTATGAGTGCGCACGACTGTACCTTTAGTGTAACGCCTGCCAGAGTGGCGGTGACCTCCATGGTGTTTGTGCGGACGACAGTACCTTTAGTGTAACGCCTGCCAGTGTGGCGGTGACCTCCATGGTGTTGGTGCGCACAGCTACCGAGCAGCCGACGCCGCCGATCGTCAGAGAGATCATCTCGTCAGCCATGCTCTGATCGTCGGCTGACTGACGACGGTACACGTCCGCGCATAGCTCTGGATGAGACGCAGGGAGTGGGTTAACAGGGATCTACAGCTGCAGCACACACACTGCAGTTACATCGCAAATGGCAAATCAAATGGGCAGCAATCGCCACGCCATGTGTGGATCGCCCATGATCGTAAATACATACAATACATGGATTACGAGGACGCGTCTTATAAATGGAAAGGAGACCGATTGGTCTCGACAAATTGTTTGTAATGCGCGTTTACTTGCTCGCATATCCTCCATAAATGCGTGACAAATGGCAGGCTTTTGTTGGTTAGTCATGGAGCTTCAGTTCCTCGAAATCGGTACCTTTTCCCTCTCGTCTGGCCAGAAACACGCTCTGAGCCCGCGCCATCCGTCTTACCCAGGATTCTGAAGTTGAGTAGCAGATCCGTCATCTGTTCGGCATCACGCTGTCTCTTCTCGGACGAGCTGGACGGTTGGAGGGGTACCGGGGCTGATCGGTCCAGCGTCAGGACGTTGGCATTACTGTCCTGAGGGACAGCGGAGGGACGAGGTTAGCATGGGATGCTGGGGGAAAATCGAAGACCGTAAGCAACCGGGTTGTCGGAGACCAGGGACGGACAAGGTAGGGTGACGAGGATTAGGAGAGAACAGAATTTTCAGTGTCCTGGAATATCGTGTGCAATGAAGTCCCATAGACGGTTCCAGCAGATATTCCCAGCACCGTCCTATCCAGAGTAACATTGTCACCGCTAAAAACTGACCAAAGTTCCCAGTACCGTCTGTTTTGGACGGCGCATACGTACCAGTTCGGGCAGCGCCAGTGGATCGTCGTCATCAGCCGTCGGTGAGGGGATGCTGTTTCCCAGAATGGCCAGCTGAATCAGACGATAATCTGGAAATGGGTGCGGGGGAGGGCTGTCAGGCACTGTCATATGAGCAAAGGCGAGCAATCATGCAGAGATAATAAATGCTTATAGTTAGGCAACATATTTTGTGTTTAGCTGCTGGTAATGCTACAGAAGCACTATGTTACCTGCGATTTACACTTCGCTGTTTGTTGGGGTTTGACGGCGCGTCGACGGCCAGGTCACTATGCGCCATGTGATTTACAAGTCCAGAATGAAACCATGGAATCTGCACACGGGTAGCACAAACGGCGCCTTCGGGGCGTACCTGATATGCTGAAGCTGAGTTTGGAGATGGCGGCGTCCACTTTGACGACCGGCAGGCGCGGATCATCAGTAATAAGACACTTCTTCACACAAACCGAGAGACTGATGGGACGCACCAGATGCTGTGGCGAGCCGCTCAGTTTCAGTGCCTCACGCCACGACTCGCCAGGCACCGACATAACCACCTCGATATCCTCCAGGTCAATGTCGAACTGATCGTACGCCTGGGCGGCCATGGTGGTGAATATATCCTCTGATGAGGTACCCTGACTGGCCATCTTCCGCACACTGACTGGATCTACCTGGCGTGGTGCAGAGCGCAGTCGAACGCTACCCAGGTTCACAGCTAGTCGGCGACCCTCCTTAGTGATGTCTCCAAACTCTGGAACAACCAACTGCGAGGCCATTAGGTCTATCTCCAGGTCGAGTGATTTGTGCGTCTCGATGGCGTACTGCATCTTCAGCGCTGAGGTCTCCTTCAGCTCCTGAAGCTTGCTCATGGCAGCTGCGTGAAGCTGAGAGAGCTGCACGTGTCTCGGCGGTCGGAACACAGCCGCCAGCCGGCCCAGCGTCTCGGCGTGGTAGACCATCTCCACGGGCTGGCTACGCATCCTCAGTCTCTGGTCACACTCTCCATCCAGCGGGTTGGTCTCAAACATAGCCGTGAGCAGGGCGGCCGATGCGCTGCCGGACCGGGTGGAGGCGATGGCCGGCGACTCGCCGCCGCCGTCCGGCACGCCGTCCACTCGCAGCTCGCTGATGGACGTCTCCACGCGCACGGCGCCGGCGGCCGGCCGCTGCGCCAGACTGGCGTCCACCGCGCGCAGGCTGAGCCGCAGCACGGCCGTCGGAGTAGCCTCCTCGTCCTCGACAGCCAGCCGCAGCGTGCCCAGCCGGAACGCCAGCTGGACGGCCTCAAACTCGGCCGGGTACTCGGTGGGCGCCGCGTTCTCCTGGTAGTCGATGGCCGCGTACAGCTTCTGCCGCTCCTCGGGCGTCATGGCCGCCTCGAACTGCTTGGCTGTCGGGGCACAAACAAAAACAATGTTACAACTTATACCACGCCTACAAGTCACTTCAGCATAAGAAGTGAGGAAGGAATGAGGCAGAACGGATTGATTTCAAAACATCTTGCGCAGTTTAGAGAAAACGTATAGCCAAAGGTCATCAATCAACAGCTGCAATAAGTGCATCACAATGGGCAAAGTTAATAAAATGTACCTACATCACTGGATTAATACAATTACAGCTGACTAAACACGAGTGTCGAGAGCCCGATAACCTACCGATGTCGCCATCATCGGCGGTGGTGTCTGTCTTGCTGCCGCCGCCGAACCATCCGCCGAACCATCCCGACTCCTTCTTTTCCTTCTTCTGTCGTTCCACCTGGCGGTCCACCTGGGACCAAGTCACATCATTGGTCAGTGATCAGTGGGGAATATTGAAAAAGGACGTACGGCCGGCGGCGTCCAAAGAAAGATTGGATGGTACAACAAAGGGAACATCGCCTGTCAGGGCCCGAGGGGACTGGGGCATGGAATCAGCAGCGTGCCGTAGCACGAGGATATCTCCGCGAGTGATCTAGTCTGTGACCGCAGAACAAGGTATGATACAAATCGCCACAAAGTTACCACCAGTGGAACTGCACTCCACGGCGCTTGACTGCGCACATCTGAGTACCAGAGAACTATAATGTAGCATCCTGTAGCACCGCCAATCAGCACTCAAAATCCACGATTCACTATTATCTACGTTACGCGCCAATGAGTGGCAGATAGATTGTCGTACCTCGAGCTGAACCTTCTGACGAATCATGATCACGTTGACGATGTCCAGCTTGAACTCGTAGTCATCAATCCTGGCCTGGACGTCCGGTGGAACCTTCTTGGTCGTCAGCTTCGTCTTATACGCCTGCAGGGAGAAGCCAGAGATGCAATCAATAATCACGCCTTACGAAACACTCAAGATAAAACCGATGCTTTTATCGCTGATCGACATGGCTGATTGATTGATTGATTGATTGATTGATTGATTGATTGATTGATACAATAATGAACTGTGATACGAATTTATTTGCCTGTTTGATTCTTTATTTGTTTCGAATGATTGTCGTTCTTGATTTGAATATCCACGTTTAACTTTGACCAGATCAGCCCGGTTCCACATACCTTTGCGTAGCGTTGGCACATATCCCGGTAGGACTTCATATGGACCCAGGACCAGTTGCGGCGTCGCCGGCGTACCATCTCGTTCAGCACGCACTTGTACGCAAATCGCCACCTATAAGAAGAACATAGTTGTACAGGTCAGACGCTAGCCAACTAATATGTCGGACGCGGACGTGATACACTAAGCGCCAAACAAGACATTTGAGAAACGTAACGAGAAACGTCTAATGACACGGGCGTTTTGAACAATGGCTGTCTCAGAAGATATCCTCTAAATCAATTTGCGAATTTGGGTCGAGCCGTTTGTTTTCACAGACCATTCGGCGGCGTGTCCGTGGTACTGGGTGACCTGCGGCCGGTACTTGCGGTACGGCTGGGCCAGTGTCATACGCTCCATGCTCTGCAGAAGCTCCATCATATCCCGGTACTGGTACTTTGTTACGCCTGCGGCCAAGAAATACAATCAGCAACGCGAAGGTCACAGTTACAAATGGCCTGTTGGGGCTGAGAAGATTGGTACTGCATATTGTAAGCTCAAAAGAATTGGCTCGGAGGAAGTAGCGGACTCCATAATTAACCATTCAAACGGCATGCCATGACAAGATATGCGTTGGCAATACGAGTACGTTCCCGATAGCTGTTTGGTGTTAAGGTGTGTCTTATCAGGAACTCGACTCGTATCTGCCTATACTTGAAGAGCATGCTCTCCGTATTGCTTGAGACGAAGTAGCACCACCAAGCTATATGTCTTACGACATCCCTTAACGGTGTAGGTATCATAATCTCCCGCGGCACCATTTACAGTAAACATGAACAGAGCGGTGGTATTTATCAAACGTGGCTGTCACCTGTCAGATTATACACGATGTAATACCGACAGCGGTCACAGCGCCTACATAAGTAATACACATGGACTCATGGTGGCCAGCTGTACGAACAAGGCGTTAGATCAATAAGGTAGCCAATAATGGATCACCGCAAACAAACAATACAGCAGACGGACACGGTACTTACAAACCAGCGGCATACATCGATCAACACCAGCGTATCAATTGACTGACACACTCAAAAGTCATGCGACGTGCCTCTCATATCAACTGCCACCACTCCCAGCCATTTGAAACAATGGCAAACCCGTGACAGACTAGACGACATTGGCCTCCAATCCATGACCTCCATGTAGAACAGATGTTACCCCTGCCAATGCAGACCAAACGCCCCCCGGTGACAGAAAGGACGTTACTCAGCGATGGAACGGACGTCATTCCCGTTCCTAGCCCCCCCACCCCCCCCCCCCCACCTTCCGCATTAAACCAGACACTACCCCCATGCCAAGCCATCCGTTACCCCCTTTGAGGGAACAGGATGTCATCCGACCCCTGCCGTGACGGCACTCACCGACGGCCAGCTGCTCGAGCACCAGGTTCAGCCACACCTTGGGGATCTGGAAGCCGCTGCCGTCGTGCTCCGGCTTGGGGTTCAGCTTCAGCTGCGCCTTGGCGTTGATCGGACCCAGAACTGCCGGAGGGTGGAAAGGAAGCTGTGGTCAGTTGGAGTCAGCAGGGGAATAATAATTCGGGGTTAGCTGCTCGTGTATCTCAATGGATCTGACCATGTATTACATTGAGCCTGGCCCCGGGCTGTGTGGTATCTCATCGCATTCGTCTATCCCTGTATCCGTTCCTGTACGTCACTCTATCTGGCGCCGGGAAGGATGGTATCTCACTGTATCCGTCCCTGTATCTCACTGTAACTGGTGCCGGGTGGCAAGGCATATCACGGTCATAGGCGGCGGAACAGGGGGGCGGGGCACCGGGGCACCTTGCCCCCCCCCCCGATTTTGCCATTTTAACATAAGCCTGATGGGCGTTGCATGGAAAGAATGGGACCAAAAGTCGGCAGTCCCCCCCCCCCCTTAATTGAAGGTGTTCCGCCGCTACTGATCACGGTATCTGTCCCAGTATCTCAATGCATCTGTCGCCGGGCGGGGCGGTATCTCACAGAATCTGTATATTTATCTGTATCTGTATCTCACTGTATTTGGCGCCGGGCGGGACGCTGTCGGAGGTGGCGATCTCAGCGATGAAGCGCCTCTCCCGCTCCTGGTCGGATAGTTGACCGTACAGCTCGGTACGACTGTTCCAGTACACGCTCAGACTGTCCAGGCTGACCAGCTGGGGGGGGGGGGGGGGGAGATAGGCAGGTCAGAATAGGCGCCTCTCCTGCTCCTAGTCAGGTCCGTACAGCTCGGTGCGGCTGTTCCAGTACACACTGAGACTGTCCAGGCTGACCAGCTGGGGGGGGGGGACATGGGCAGGTCAGAATAGGCGCCTCTCCCGCTCCTGGTCGGACAACTGACCGTAGGGGCATTCCACGTCAAATCGAACAAAAATCGGCTGTTTTGCACCTTACCTTCAGCGATTTCATTATAAATTTGTGAGCGAGTTCCTGTGTCACCCCGAACATTACATTGATGTTTTTTGCACATTCTGACCACAGGTCTTCTAAATATAGGGCATCGAATTTTTACAAAATGTTGCATCTGTATATTTTTGAACGACCATAACTTTGGTTGTACTTGGTTGATTTGAATGAAATAAACCTTACTGTTCAGGTAATTTCTTAAGCATTTGTTTAGAATTGCACCTACTTAAATATATGACCTTGAAATTTGCTTAACTCTGTTCTTAAGCACATAAATTGAAATAGCAAAAAACACGTCACTTTCGATTTGGCTAATTTTCATATATTTTATTGCCTACCATATTCTTAACAACCTATGAAAACATTAGAGTGGGCCATTCATAAGTTTTGAAGAAAATGGCACATATGCAAACGTATGTTAGCACGCGCAGTGGAGGGGGAAGAGTGAATTTCGCCCCACCCCTCCTGTTTTTCGCCAATATCTCATAGTATTAATGCGAAATTAATTATAGCTACCTGTCCAAAATTGAATTGCACATCTCATCGTGCAAGCAAGAAGAAAATCGGTTCACAACTGTTCTAGTAATAGCGGTGTAAAGTGAAACATCCTGTCGCCGCGGCGACGCGGCGACTCGGCAGCCGGCGCGGCGCCGACCGCTAGCCGCCGCCTGAATTGTAGACTGTGCCGGGACGGAACGGAACGGTTCCGTCTTTACATCGCGCTCCTTACCGCTGATTACGTTCAATTCGCGTCAAATTTTGTGAGAAGACTAAGAAATGTACAGGCAATCTTATGGTGTAAGAATTTTGAAAATCGGTTGGTAAACAATTGAAATATGAACGTGTAAACACAAAATTGTGATTGCTGCGTTTCCCGCGTCGGCCGATCCCGCCTCAGCCGACGACATGTTACTCGCAGGTCTCTAACTGCCATATTTACCAGTAAAACGCCTTTTGGGCGAAGAACGAGCGAGCGAGATAGTGAGCCCTGCACGTGCAGAAGGGCGAGAGGGTACTTCCAACGGGCTTGTGCAAAGCACCCTTCTAACCGGTCGCTAGCGGTGTGCCAAATTTGAACGCAATCGGCCCAGCCGTTCCTGAGATCTGGAAGCGGCATTCTGCACGTGCGCACGTGCAAACGGGGTCCAAAATGACTTTTGCACGGCACCCTACTAACCGGTCCCCAACCGTGTACCAAATTTGAGCGCAATCGGCCCAGCCGTTCTCGAGATCTGGAAACGCCCCCTGCACGTGCGCACGTGCAGTAGCACCCTAACCGCAACACATGGGAATTCATTGTCTGGTGGGTGCCTACCTGTATGCCAAGTTTCAGCGAAATCGCCCCAGTAATTACCGAGTTACTGAAATGGGAACAAATTTGGCACCTCTTATTGTTGTATTTTGCACGTGCAGTGGGGGTCACTCACATAGATGAAGAGTATCCTACCTTTGGTAGAAAGGATGCAGCTACCCTATAAAAATGACCGCAAGACAATCGCTCAAGCCGCTGCTGAGATATGGGCCTCTCAAAATCATTACTTTTGCAAAACTGCTTGAACACCCTTGACTTTTCACGTGGCACGTGCCACGGCGGTCACTGAGATGTATCAAAAGTAGTCAATTACGGGGTAGAAGGGATGGGGCTACCCAGCAAAAAAGACCGCAGGCCATTCGGTCCAGCGGTTGCTGAGATATAAGCCTCTCAAAAGCGTTACAGGCCGGGCCGGGCCGGGCCGGGCCGGGCCGCTCATACTGAGATTTATCCGTTATATTGAAAAGACTTCGCTTCGCTCGCTGCGCTCGCTCGCTCGTAATTATTGGATTAACTAGAAATTCCTCATACATACTCAAAAATGTATATTCTTTCGTATAGTGAAGATAAAAAGACGTGAAGATATCGTTGCGTGATAATGTTTTCGTTGAATTTTTGGCTTCATGATGCATTTCCACACGGCTCAAAATTCACCGCAAAATACCGTTTGCCTGAGACACTTTTACTATGGAACTTGAATGCTTGACTACGATGACTATGTATTTCCATTCCCGCAGAGTTTGGGATATCACTAATCAGCAATCATTCATTTCAGAAAGTGTACACAAGCAAGCATGTCTTGACTCTGTCTTTCAAGGTCACTCGCGGTTGCGTGATGTTGATGCATGAAAACGGCGTTTGCCGCGAGAGTTATGAATGGCCCACTCCAATTTTTTTCACAGATGGTTAGGAACATTGTGACGGACATAATATGTAAAAATTACCCGAATCGAAGGTGACGTGTTTTTTGCTATTTAAATTTTTCTGTTTTAATTCAAGGTCAAATGCATTTCAAGGTCACTTCAATTTAATTTTATAATTAAAAATCAAAGCCTTATCAATTGCCTACAAGACCCTGTTAATATCATTTTGATACCAGAAAAGGAACCAGAGTTATAGACATTTAAAAAATTGATGTGTGGCATTTTTGGCTATATTCGATGACCTATATCTCAGCGATACTTTATCAAATTTCGAAAATATTATACGTAACTCAGTTTTGAACCATGTCCAGTCTGCCTACAAATTTTCAGAAAAATCGAAGGCGATGACGGATTTCGGTGTTTGATTTGACGTGGAATGCCCCCGTACAGCTCGGTACGACTGTTCCAGTACACACTGAGACTGTCCAGGCTGACCAGCTGGGGGGGGGGGGGGACATGGGCAGGTCAGAATAGGCGCCTCTCCCGCTCCTGGTCGGACAGTTGACCGTACAGCTCGGTACGACTGTTCCAGTACACACTGAGACTGTCCAGGCTGACCAGCTGGGGGGGGGGGGGGACATGGGCAGGTCAGAATAGGCGCCTCTCCCGCTCCTGGTCGGACAACTGACCGTACAGCTCGGTACGACTGTTCCAGTACACACTGAGACTGTCCAGGCTGACCAGCTGGGGGGGGGGGGGGGACATGGGCAGGTCAGAATAGGCGCCTCTCCCGCTCCTGGTCGGACAACTGACCGTACAGCTCGGTACGACTGTTCCAGTACACACTGAGACTGTCCAGGCTGACCAGCTGGGGGAGGGGGGAGAAAGGCAGGTCAGAATAGGCGCCTCTCCCGCTCCTGGTCGGACAACTGACCGTACAGCTCGGTACGACTGTTCCAGTACACACTGAGACTGTCCAGGCTGACCAGCTGGGGGGGGGGGGACATGGGCAGGTCAGAATAGGCGCCTCTCCCGCTCCTGGTCGGACAACTGACCGTACAGCTCGGTACGACTGTTCCAGTACACGCCGAGACTGTCCAGACTGACCAGCTGACGGGGGGGGGGGAGATAGGCAGGTCAGAATAGGCGCCTCTCTCGCTCCTGGTCGGAGAGCCGACCGTACAGCTCGGTACGACTGTTCCAGTACACGCTGAGACTGTCCAGACTGACCAGCTGATAGGGGGGGGGGGGAGGCACGCAGCAGTCAGGACGGGCATGGACACACAAACAAGTCGTAAACAGAAGTACATCGGAAATGGCGCGACACACACGATACACAAACCTGCATGGTCGCCGACAGACTGACACATACAAAATACAGCTGACGCTGAGCAGGAAATGAGACTAAGCGACAAAAACGAACACCAGAACTTGGACCGCGATGTGGACAACATCGGTCACTGGCCAATAGCCATCACTAACTGTACGTCGCTGTAAGCGTTCCATTTCCTCTGCCGATCTTAGCTGCACGTAACGCAACGCCGCAGGAAATATGGCATGTCGGTCCAACACAGCCCCCAGCCAGCACTACCCTCCTCCCTTTCCCCCACCTCGGTCCGTGTCAGGCTCATATGACCTGTGTCGGCTTCCCTCCATCTACTTGTCTAATCCCCGTGTCCAATAACACGTCGCGCCGAGCCACAATAGCCGACGGCACACCCCGGGGACTCGACGCCACCGCCGCCGCAGACGCGGACTGTGCTACATGTCGGGCGGGCCAGTGGGTTTTCCGTATTAGTTTGTGCAAACTGTGGTTAGTCGGGATATTCTCAATATGACCATGATAACAGTCTACGGATCATCTATCTAAGGGTACAGCATAGTTGAAGTCTGAAGAAGCTCCATACACGCACAAAAAAAAGACAAACATCCACAAGAACTGAAAATGCCGATGGCGAATTTTCACAAAATGTCAATATTTTAGACATTTGTTTAGGACTGTTCATTACTCAAATTTTGATTTATCTTATTTTGATGGATTTATATTAATAGTTTTGAACTTAAATTTATAATTCAAATCGTGTCCATTACCCGATATGCAGTTCTAACTGACACTACCCACCTTAAAGATTTGTCCGACACTAACCACCATGTAGTCTGACGGTAACCCACCTTGTAGATTTGTCTGACGGCGTCTGTGACGATGGCCGGCTTCCAGTGGTTGTCGGTGCTCTCCAGACATAGCTTGTGCAGCGTGACGCCCAGCGCGAACGGCGTGTCCGGCGCTGTGATCTGGAGACACAAACAGACAGGAAAATATGTCAATACAGAATGGGAGCGCATGGCGGGGAGGGGGACGCAGTCGAATATCTTGATTTATTCATGCAGTGTTGAATACATAAATTGTGTACGACGAGAGCACACGGCGTTTAGAACTGGAACGGAGAGCTATGATGAAAAAATCGGATAGAATCGAAATGAAAATACAGAACTTCGAATCAATTACTGGACTACACCGGAATTCGGATAGTAAGGCTGAGATTTAGTAGAGCCACTCAAGCGAACAGTGTTGGCTTAGAAGATAGCCTATCAGCTTGAAGTCTGAGCAATCCCTTGTGTAAATAAAGCTGTTATCTAAATGCGAGAGCCGAACATCCATTCACACACTATATAGTGAGACGTCTGTCAAGACAGCATCAGATTCAGATTCACTTTCAGAATCACATTCGGACCCCCTTAGATTTTCATAAAAACTGGTCCATGGGTACAGTTTTGGACGCTGATTCCAATGGTGAAGTCTGTTTTTCGCCACATATTATACTTTGGCCCCTAGAGGCATTCAAAGTTTTTTTGGGGCGAAGGGGGACCCCCTTAGATTTTCATTAAAACTGGTCCATGTGTACAGTTTTAGACGCTGATTCCAACGGTGAAGTCTGTTTTTCGCCACATATTATACTTTGGCCCCTAGAGGCATTCAAAGTTTTTTGGGGGAAGGGGGACCCCCTTAGATTTTCATAAAAACTGGTCCATGTGTACAGTTTTAGACGCTGATTCCAACGGTGAAGTCTGTTTTTCGCCACATATTATACTTTGGCCCCTAGAGGCATTCAAAGTTTTTTGGGGGAAGGGGGACCCCCTTAGATTTTCATAAAAACTGGTCCATGTGCACAGTTTTGGACGCTGATTCCAATGGTGAAGTCTGTTTTCCGCCACATATTATACTTTGGCCCCTAGAGGCATTCAAAGTTTTTTTTTTGGGCGAAGGGGGACCCCCTTAGATTTTCATAAAAACTGGTCCATGGATACAGTTTTGGACGCTGATTCCAATGGTGAAGTCTGTTTTTCGCCACATATTATACTTTGGCCCCTAGAGGCATTCAAATTTTTTTGGGGCGAAGGGGGACCCCCTTAGATTTTCATTAAAACCGGTCCATGGGTACAGTTTTGGACGCTGATTCCAACGGTGAAGTCTGTTTTTCGCCACATACTCGTATTATACTTTGGCCCCTAGAGGCATTCAAAGTTTTTTTGGGGAAGGGGGACCCCCTTATATTTTCATAAAAACTGGTCTATGGGTACAGTTTTGGACGCTGATTCCAATGGTGAAGTCTGTTTTTCGCCACATATTATACTTTGGCCCCTAGAGGCATTCAAAGTTTTTTTGGGGCGAAGGAGGACCCCCTTAGATTTTCATAAAAACTGGTCCATGTGTCCATTTTGGACGCTGATTCCAACGGTGAAGTCTGTTTTTCGCCACATATTATACTTTGGCCCCTAGAGGCATTCAAAGTTTTTTGGGGGAAGGGGGACCCCCTTAGATTTTCATAAAAACTGGTCCATGGGTACAGTTTTGACCGCTGATTCCCATGGTGAAGTCTGTTTCTCGCCACATATTATACTTTGGCCCCTAGAGGCATTCAAAGTTTTTTTGGGGCGAAGGGGGACCCCCTTAGATTTTCATAAAAACTGGTCCATGTGTACAGTTTTGGACGCTGATTCCAACGGTGAAGTCTGTTTTTCGCCACATATTATACTTTGGCCCCTAGAGACATTCAAATTTTTTTTGGGGAAGGGGGACCCCCTTAGATTTTCATAAAAACTGGTCCATGTGTACAGTTTTGGACGCTGATTCCAACGGTGAAGTCTGTTTTTCGCCACATATTATACTTTGGCCCCTAGAGGCATTCAAAGTTTTTTGGGGAAGGGGGACCCCCTTAGATTTTCATAAAAACTGGTCCATGTGTACAGTTTTGGACGCTGATTTTAACGGTGAAGTCTGTTTTTCGCCACATATTATACTTTGGCCCCTAGAGGCATTCAAAGTTTTTTGGGGCGAAGGGGGACCCCCTTAGATTTTCATAAAAACCGGTCCATGGGTACAGTTTTGGACGCTGATTCCAACGGTGAGGTCTGTTTTTCGCCACATATTATACTTTGGCCCCTAGAGGCATTCAAAGTTTTTGGGGGGAAGGGGGACCCCCTTAGATTTTCATAAAAACTGGTCCATGTGTACAGTTTTGGACGCTGATTTTAACGGTGAAGTCTGTTTTTCGCCACATATTATACTTTGCCCCTAGAGGCATTCAGATTCACTTTCAGAATTACATTCGGACCCCCTTAGATTTTCATAAAAACTGGTCCATGGGTACAGTTTTGGACGCTGATTCCAATGGTGAAGTCTGTTTTTCGCCACATATTATACTTTGGCCTCTAGAGGCATTCAAAGTTTTTTAGGACGAAGGGGGACCCCCTTAGATTTTCATTAAAACTGGTCCATGTGTACAGTTTTAGACGCTGATTCCAACGGTGAAGTCTGTTTTTCGCCACATATTATACTTTGGCCCCTAGAGGCATTCAAAGTTTTTTGGGGGAAGGGGGACCCCCTTAGATTTTCATAAAAACTGGTCTATGGGTACAGTTTTGGACGCTGATTCCAATGGTGAAGTCTGTTTTTCGCCACATGTTATACTTTGGCCCCTAGAGGCATTCAAAGTTTTTTTGGGGAGAAGGGGGACCCCCTTAGATTTTCATAAAAACTGGTCCATGTGTACAGTTTTGGACGCTGATTCCAACGGTGAAGTCTGTTTTTCGCCACATATTATACTTTGGCCCCTAGAGGCATTCAAAGTTTTTTGGGGAAGGGGGACCCCCTTAGATTTTCATAAAAACTGGTCCATGTGTACAGTTTTGGACGCTGATTCCCATGGTGAAGTCTGTTTTTCGCCACATATTATACTTTGCCCCTAGAGGCATTCAGATTCACTTTCAGAATCACATTCGGACCCCCTTAGATTTTCATAAAAACTTATCCATGGGTACAGTTTTGGACGCTGATTCCAAAGGTGAAGTCTGTTTTTCGCCACATATTATACTTTGGCCCCTAGAGGCATTCAAAGTTTTTTTGGGGCGAAGGGGGACCCCCTTAGATTTTCATTAAAACTGGTCCATGTGTACAGTTTTAGACGCTGATTCCAACGGTGAAGTCTGTTTTGCGCCACATATTATACTTTGGCCCCTACAGGCATTCAAAGTTTTTTAGGGGAAGGGGGACCCCCTTAGATTTTCATAAAAACTGGTCCATGTGCACAGTTGTGGACGCTGATTCCAATGGTGAAGTCTGTTTTCCGCCACATATTATACTTTGGCCCCTAGAGGCATTCAAAGTTTTTTTTTGGGCGAAGGGGGACCCCCTTAGATTTTCATAAAAACTGGTCCATGGATACAGTTTTGGACGCTGATTCCAATGGTGAGGTCTGTTTTTCGCCACATATTATACTTTGGCCCCTAGAGGCATTCAATTTTTTTGGGGGGCGAAGGGGGACCCCCTTAGATTTTCATTAAAACCGGTCCATGGGTACAGTTTTGGACGCTGATTCCAACGGTGAAGTCTGTTTTTCGCCACATATTATACTTTGGCCCCTAGAGGCATTCAAAGTTTTTTGGGGGAAGGGGACCCCCTTAGATTTTCATAAAAACTGGTCCATGTGTACAGTTTTGGACTCTAGTTTTGGACTAGAGTCCAAAAGAGTCCAGAGTTCAGTTTTGGAGTTTTTGGACTCAGTTTTGAATGCCTCTAGGGGCCAAAGTATAATATGTGGCGAAAAACAGACTTCACCATTGGAATCAGCGTCCAAAACTGTACCCATGGACCAGTTTTTATGAAAATCTAAGGGGGTCCCCCTTCGCCCAAAAAAAACTTTGAATGCCTCTAGGGGCCAAAGTATAATATGTGGCGAAAAACAGACTTCACCATTGGAATCAGCGTCCAAAACTGTACACATGGACCAGATTTTATGAAAATCTAAGGGGGTCCCCCTTCCCCAAAAAAAACTTTGAATGCCTCTAGGGGCCAAAGTATAATATGTGGCGAAAAACAGACTTCACCGTTGGAATCAGCGTCCAAAACTGTACACATGGACCAGTTTTAATGAAAATCTAAGGGGGTCCCCCTTCGCCCAAAAAAAAACTTTGAATGCCTCTAGGGGCCAAAGTATAATATGTGGCGAAAAACAGACTTCACCATTGGAATCAGCGTCCAAAACTGTACCCATGGACAAGTTTTTATGAAAATCTAAGGGGGTCCGAATGTGATTCTGAAAGTGAATCTGAATGCCTCTAGGGGCAAAGTATATGTGGCGAAAAACAGACTTCACCATGGGAATCAGCGTCCAAAACTGTACACATGGACCAGTTTTTATGAAAATCTAAGGGGGTCCTCCTTCCCCCATAAAACTTTGAATGCCTCTAGGGGCCAAAGTATAATTTGTGGCGAAAAACAGACTTCACCGTTGGAATCAGCGTCCAAAACTGTACACATGGACTAGTTTTTATGAAAATCTAAGGGGGTCCCCCTTCGCCCCAAAAAAACTTTGAATGCCTCTAGGGGCCAAAGTATAATATGTGGCGAGAAACAGACTTCACCATTGGAATCAGCGTCCAAAACTGTACCCATGGACCAGTTTTTATGAAAATATAAGGGGGTCCCCCCTTCCCCCAAAAAACTTTGAATGCCTCTAGGGGCCAAAGTATAATATGTGGCGAAAAACAGACTTCACCGTTGGAATCAGCGTCCAAAACTGTACACATGGACCAGTTTTTATGAAAATCTAAGGGGGTCCCCCTTCGCCCCAAAAAAAACTTTGAATGCCTCTAGGGGCCAAAGTATAATATGTGGCGAGAAACAGACTTCACCATTGGAATCAGCGTCCAAAACTGTACCCATGGACCAGTTTTTATGAAAATCTAAGGGGGTCCCCCTTCCCCCAAAAAACTTTGAATGCCTCTAGGGGCCAAAGTATAATATGTGGCGAAAAACAGACTTCACCGTTGGAATCAGCGTCCAAAACTGTACACATGGACCAGTTTTTATGAAAATCTAAGGGGGTCCCCCTTCGCCCCAAAAAAACTTTGAATGCCTCTAGGGGCCAAAGTATAATATGTGGCGAAAAACAGACTGCACCATTGGAATCAGCGTCCAAAACTGTGCACATGGACCAGTTTTTATGAAAATCTAAGGGGGTCCCCCTTCCCCCAAAAAACTTTGAATGCCTCTAGGGGCCAAAGTATAATATGTGGCGAAAAACAGACTTCACCGTTGGAATCAGCGTCCAAAACTGTACACATGGACCAGTTTTTATGAAAATCTAAGGGGGTCCCCCTTCGCCCTAAAAAAACTTTGAATGCCTCTAGGGGCCAAAGTATAATATGTGGCGAAAAACAGACTTCACCATTGGAATCAGCGTCCAAAACTGTACCCATGGACCAGTTTTTATGAAAATCTAAGGGGGTCCGAATGTGATTCTGAAAGTGAATCTGAATCTGAGGCTGTCTTGACAGACGTTATAGTGAGTAGTGACCCTGCAATGGCAGCAACCATCGACAGCAAAAACTTGCTCATTGGCACCGTTTGAAGTGCTAGTAGCTCAGTCCGTCCCGCCCGTAAAAATTCGCGTCCACGCCACATAGATTGCTGAGCTGACATTATACGGGCTGGTCAGATTTGATCGTGCCCTTGTGGTGCAGGCGGGTCGTGTACAATGCATTGAGAGCGGCGATTTTTCGGCCGAGGCAGATAGGACCATCATCAATCGTCCGGTTCAGTGGCCCGCTGTCGGAGGAACAAATAGCCCTGGTCGCTCGGTCTCAGTCCCCGTGGCCTCCTGACATTGAGGCATCTCTGGGTCAGTTGCTGTGCAGGATTGTGTGCCATCAGTTGCTGCGTCGGACATATGCTGGGTAACGGCGCTACTCTGACGCACAGCCTGTCGTTACGCCGGCTGTTACTGCGAGGCCAGTCACCGTTGATTAGCTACACGTGTGGCCACACCCGTGACCACGTCAGATGTTAGCCGGAGCTCGACATTGAACCGTGCGGACACTGGTCCTTCTGCACAGACCACGGATGATAAAAACGCTGAACAGATGAATCACAAACAGCGTCGGAGCAGAACAGTCGTCGCCAGCCCAGAGATGGTTGGTCACACGGTGGTGAAGGTTTAGGAGAGGGGAGGGGTAAAACCAAGCTGCGTCCGAGCTCGTTTTATATTACTCGGATCAATACGAGGTGGAAGACAGGGACAAATTACTCTCCCTCTGCCTTGAATAACGGTGAAACGGGAGCTATTGCAGTCCTTCCTGATAACGCGGCAATATAACTATTACTTCGTAAAGTGTTCATAGTTCTCACATCTTGGCCGAGGACTTCTGAGCTCACCCATACCGCCTCACTTCCCATCCCCACCTCGCGCGTCGCATTCCCTATCGGTGACGCACTACGTCCGTCATACTCGGCCCGTGTGGCGCCGTGCAGCTGCTGCAACCGAAGGTCGGCACTGCGACGCCGTGTCTGTGTGCGTCGATTGGCGGTCCGCCTTCAGGGCCCTGTTTCACCGGTGATAGCAGCACGCTGCTTTTACACGTGTCAAATTGGGTTTCCATGGAAACGTCAACAGGCCCATTGCTCCAACACTACCACAAGTGTGACGTCAGCTCGCGCAATTTGATAGCAGCGTGGTAGCAGCGTCCCGTGAAACACCGCCCAGATTGCAGTCCACAGTGAACTTCTGCACACATCTCAGCGCCTTCAATGCGTTTAGCTATTGGCCTTTTCCGGACATAGATGCCGCTCTACCAGGAACCTTTACTTTACTCCCAAAATGTCTGCAGTATTCTACGGGGCACTGCTCTTTCTACATAGACTGGATTTCAATTCCATAGAGGCACGTCAAGGCCCTATATACCAGCACATTCCACGTTCCAGAACCAGAACAGACGTAAGCCTGTCGAGTGTCGATGGCCGTGACAATTTGATCAGCTGGTAACAGTGAGCGCCGTCAGTAGGTACAGACGAAACCTATGTGTTCTTCACTAACTACAGAGCGGTTTGACCGCCCCCCCCCCCCCCCCCAGTCTCCCCGCCTCATGCTTCAGCAGACCCCTACGGCGGCGGCGGGCGGGCGGGCGGCGGCTCCCCGCCCCGGCCGACTCAGCGCCTCTCTGGCTTTACTCGGGATCACATTACGTTCAGCCGGCTTATTTGCCAACAGAGGGGGAGGGGCAACCGACCGGGCACACAGCCCAGTGACTGGTGGCTCAGTGCGTTATAGAATATTGCCGATATTACAAAAGTAAAATAAGGGCAAACTACGAATGTTCAACTGCTGGGCATACACAAACGCGAATTAGCGGGGTTGCGGCTCACGTCGTATCGAAAACATAAAGGATTTTTCCATCACCAGGTAGTGCGTACCCCCAAAGAGAACACACATGGCGGTATTGCTGCGACTCTCCACAGCCTACCAAGTATGTAACAACTACCAACACCGACGGACAGACAGACAGGAAAAAACAGACAGCCCAGTGCCCCTGTCCGGTAAACGGCGCAGTCTGCCTGAACTGGAGTCCAGCCTACAGGACGCTGCTTGTCTGAGGGGTGATCTGGAATTCATCAATGAGCAATGCACCAGGTCACGGACCAAAGCTGAGATGCGGCGACTGGCATGCAAGTTAGGAGATAACGTCTGGTAAAACTCGGGTCTCCCCCGAAAGCAATGACGATCAAGATCATTGTAACTAGCGGCATGGCCTAGACGGGCTACTTCTACAATCTTATTTCTATTATAACGGCATCCTAAATCGATAAAGTCAAAGAAAAAAAGGCTACAGCAAAACAAAAACTACGACAAAACTCACCGTCGGCAACAGCGGATGCAAAACAAGATTCGGAATGGCATAACACCGTTAATCTCTGAGGATACCGCTAAACCTTAAGCGAACCACTTTTAGCGGAATAAATCTGCGCCTCCTTTTAGGGAATCACTTCCCTTTCCCTCTCCCCTTCACCTAGCAATTCCCCCCTCCGCCCGGTCAGTCACAGGTGCCACCCGTCGTGTGTGTGGGGGAGGGGGAGGGTGACGAAATAGCTCACTGGCACGCTACGACCCCGCCGGTCGGTAAGCTGCACGACGCACGCCAACATACCGGTCTACAATAACTTCTGATCGCTTAAAGTTGAACAATCAAACCAGTTTGGTGCCTACAGATCTAACTCGATTGGATGTCCAATGTCGAGCCTAATGCAGAAAACTGAGCATACGCATCGCGTAGCAGCGGATGTCTATGGAAAAAAAATACATGCAGTGCTATGGATAAGTTTCTGAAGCTTCTGAAGCAGAAGCGCAGCTCATTCATTCATTTCAGACCCTCGGTGAATGACAGCCGGTGCCAATGACCCAGGAGTTTCGAGGAATTCCAGCTTGGCTGCAGCTGCGGCGATGCACCACAATCACGGTCCGTCCTCGGAGCCACCCGAACCACTCAGCGGTGTTGGGTCCGTAATGCCGACCGGGAACGGTGTGAATACGCCGTACTGACTATCGACCCAGGCTGCCGCCCCGCTCACCGCTTCAGAGTCCCCGTGACTGTTCACATAGGTATAGCTACTCTGTGACACCCGGCATTATTAATCGGCCGCCCAACACACAATCGACCGTAAGCGCTGGATCAGACCACGATCTTCGATCTCTGATTGAGTCCATCACCAGTCCGATTTGTTACTCGATTTTGCCTGATCTCATTATCCATTATTCGCGCTTCAATCGACCGCAATACTGACCTCACCATCGCCATTGACTGACTCTATTCCCGTCCCGACCGCGCTATCAAGCGTAGCGATCCATGAAATCGACCCAGCCTTCACACTGTCCCCGACCAAAACACCAGCGTGTGGTCTATCCGGTCAGTCATTCTCACAGTATGCCTGGCCATAACCAGTAACCACCTTCGCTACAGCTGCCCAATCGCCAGTCTTCACGCCAGACACACGTGCAGTCTACAGGTGTGTGCCCAACGGACCCGACAGAATCTCCGCAGCTCCCGAGCCGTCCCCTATATCGTTCTCCGGGTGGAGTCGACTCACCTGGTCCTCATAACGAATGTGGATGTCCTGGACAGTGACCTGGACGTTCTTGATGATCTGCGTCACCAGTTTCTCCACGAAAGTGTCGTCCTTTTCTTTGAGTTTCTCCGACGCTGTCGAATAGAAAAGGTTACACGGTTAGTCACTAGCAACGGAGACTGCAGGGTAGATACGATATTAGTGGTTTGAGCATATTCAGCCTGAACACCTGCAAGACGCATGAATGACGAATTATCCCAAAATAGTTCACGTTTATCATAAGAGATGCATGGTCCATCAACTGGGTTAACCCGCGCCCCGTAGGGGGGAGCCGAAACGCCCCCCCCCCCCCCCCCCCCTGTCCTTTTCGGTCGATATCTCCTAAACGGCTGGAGATATCGCCACGAAACTTTCAGGACCCCTCCGGGCATCAATTTTACACATTGTGACTAAAAATTTTTTCCAGAGGCTATGATAGGTTGGCAACAAATGACGTCAGAGTGACGTCATGTTCTGTCATTTTCGACCGAAAAAAGACCTTCGCGAGAAGACCTGTCAGGACTACAGCTTTGAAGATACAGAAAAATGATCAAGACATAAAAGGTGTAGAATTGACAGGGCTACAAAACTGCTATCTCGAATTTTTGAAATTTTTGAGTTTTGACCCCCAAAAATCAAAAAAGCATTTTTTTGGATATATTCGCCAAAAAATCCAAAAAGTTTTTTTGAGTTTCGAAAAAAAACCGGAATATATGTGATAGTGCCTACCGTCTTCTATCTACATACCAAATTTCAGATCGATACCTCGTTTTTTGGGCAAGTTATAGCGAAAAAACTGTTCAAAAATGATGACGTTAAATTTTCAAACTCAATTTTTGGCAATTCTAGAACTTGTAGAGCAAAACGAAGACCACCATTAGACTCCCCGTGACGAGCTGCATCGAATCGATACCCATTTTATGCAAAAATATCAACTTTGAAATTTGACCTAATTTGACCTGACCTTGACCTGACCTTCACAAAAACGTGACCTAGGCTGGCCCCAAAGGCTGCCTAACCCACATAATCGCATTTGTCATGTAAAATGGACCATAAAACATGTATCACACGACACATTCATATTGTGACCCCCGGTGACCTGACCTCGCTGTGACCTGACCTGGTATCAGTGACCTCAGATAGCAAAGTATGTGTTTGACGAACAATGTACCATCGATGGTTTTCAATAAATTACCAATTTACTCGCTTTCACAGCACATTTCTTGAATTGCCTGTGAACGGTGAAAATCTGACCTTTGACCTGACCTGTGACGTCATCGGTTTGACCTAGGTCAATGAAATTTGGTCACAAGGTAGTTACCGGGTGGGGCTATCGAACGCCGTTTGAATTTTGAAAATCGGCCGGTAACTTTCCGAGATCTTAGGGGGGGGGGCCTAAACGCCCCCCCCCCCCCTACGGGTGGTAGGGTCCGCCGGTAGCCCTACGGGGCGCGGGTTAAATAAGCGATCCACTAGGTAAATGGAGCTCAAGGCATATGCCACCTTTTGAGTATATAAGCCCTTTAGAACTGGCTGCCGACTAGAAGCAAAACAATCATTACTTCTTTAAAATCCTCAATTACGAGCAGGGTATACATATTCGTCGAGCGCTTGCAACAGTTCGCACGCACTGGGCCTTATCATTTATCACTCCCCAGCTAGAAAATACCATAAATGACAATGTACTACCCAATCATTGTTGTGCGACAATGTAACCATTCGCACAATGTACGTGACCGTCGCGTGTTTTTTTTTTTCTGTGACACGTGACACATTATGTCCCACATAGCCTGCATTACATAAATGAAAATGAGATACAGCGCTCACTGGTAACGTTTTGTCATTGTCAGTGGTCACTCTAGATATCGGTGAGCAAACAGGATAGGGAAGTTCCCTAAATCGGCAAAAAGTGCCGGCCGTTCGCCCGTTCGGCACCCTGGCATGGTTCGGAGGCGGCTGGCTGGGCACGATGCCAACCGGCCGTCTAACCGAGTCGGACCGACCGACCCCCCAGTCGGCGGGTCCAACGCCGACCGCAGCCCGCCTGGAACCGGGAACCGGTACAGGGACCCGCAGTTGCTACTGTACACATATATTACCAATTTAGAATTGCGCTATTATTTGCTAAGTGCTGGCCATTGGAGAAAGGAAATGTAGTGCAAAGTATGGAGGAATAACACATGTTTGCTCCTAGGACGTATGTTTTGTATAATTCCTCTTACCGCAACAGATATTCTTCCAAAACTACAATCGTGCTATTTTTCCGCGCCGGTTGCCTCCCCAGAGCCCGTCCTTGGTATCGCCTATAGCTTCCGTTCCCGCTACGTGAATGAAAGTCACGTGACTACTACAGGTTTGCGCTCAGTACTAACACACCTAGCCCGAGGGCCGGTCCGTAGCGGGGAGGGGTAGAACGCCAGAGCTCCAGAGCAGTGGAGGTGGTGGTGGCCCGTATCATAAAGAGGCAACCGTAAGCAGAACTACAATTGCCGCAGTATAAGATTATGATCAAGTTTTCTTTACATGTATTGATTGACAAGAAATTGCAATGCTTATCCGATGTAATAAAACGGTGTCCAAGGCCTTGGAAGAACTATAAAACATATTCAGCAACGCATAAATTTCTGATACAGGCCATGACCTTTCACCTTGCCTCCGGGGAGGACCGCTCAGGAAGCCACATACCGAACGAATCGAGGCCTCGCAGCGCGACGGCAGAGGAGGTGGATAAACTATCGCCAGATCTTTCGGTTACTTATGTTTCCAGAAGGAGGGGGGGTGGAGGGTGAGGGCTGTTTTCAACCCACTCACCAATCCTTTCCTTATTAACTTATAGCTTACCGAGAAATGTAACACAATGGTGGCCGTCACGAGATGTAGCGAAGAGTGCCTCAGCCACACCGGTTTTGAGTAAACTTTAAGCATTGGAATTCAGACCAGTGATCCTGAAGCATTATTTTATTTTTGTTGTGCATAAGCTGGGATGACGTGGTTCAAGTTAATTGAGAAGAAACGGTTTTAGTTTCAGAACATTTATGAGGCTAGTCGCGCCAAATAGTATACGTTTGTTGCAAAATGTCAAATAGAATGTCGACGTGCTATCCAGATGATGGAATTTATTTGACACAAGAAGTCAAAGAGTGGCATCGTTAGTCATCCTGCATACCTATAAATCGATTCCTCATCTTGGTTCGAGCTCAATAGTTCTTTTCGCGGATGATCGGTTTCGTTTTCTCTCTTTTTTGTTGGGGGGGGGGGACAGATTATGAGCCAGTAACCACCCTCCCCAGTCCCCCAAACAACAATTGTTGACAAATACTGTGATGGCCTAAAAAATGCCCTCAATTGTGTTACGTAGGAGAGAATGAGGTAAGTTGAGCCGCCTTTTGTTTTTCGTAAGCTACAGGCTAACTTACTGATCATTTTTCTGCGTTTATGGGTTGGATGGACAGAGTGGTGATTTGCGCATGTAATGGTGGTCAGAAATGTTTCATATCGCTTATTTTTGTACTGAAAAGGCTACGTCAAAAATCATCTTGCACGTTGCTCATCTTACCCCATGGGCGGGGTAAGCTGAGACACGTCGTGGGGAAAGTTGAGCATGGATAGAAAAAGCGAACTTTTTCTTTTCCCGGGCGCGGCGAAGAGTGGGCCCTTTTATTTACTCCATGGCATAGATACTTATGGCAAAGTGTTTTTTCCTCCATCAAAAAGTGACTGTTTTAAGCCTTCCAATAGCTCGTCAATTTTCTATCACGGAAGAAATCATTTTTTCCTTCAGATAATCTGCAAATCACTTACAACTTGTGTAATCAACAAAGAAAAACAATTTGCTACCATTTTTATTCAGCAGAAACAAGCGCAGCTCAGTTTGGTTTTCGACAGCGGAGACAACAATGGCTTATCCGGCTCATCTTCCCCCAGGTGAAAATGGCTCATCTTGCCCCACCCGTGGCCATTTTCGATTAATGACACCCGCTAAGGAAAATAACCATGCACCGCAGATAACAACCATCTCATTTTAAAGGCAAAACATGTCTTAGTTATCAGGGGCGATACCACATGTTACCGGGTGCTGAGCGTGAGAACGTTGCCGTCTCACGTGAAAGACTGCAGCATCGTAAGCGAACGGCACATGGAAGCTCAAGTCAATTAGCGCCATAGGAGCTGAGAAACATGGGGTGGCTAAACTTGCCCCTTGGCTCATCTTACCTCACTCTCCCCTATTTGGGGCTCTCAACTTTGATTTGTTAGAGTTGTTTGTCTGTTCATTATAAAAGCTGTCAATTTTGCCGTATCATTAAACTTTTATTGAGTTTGTATTTCACACTTATCTAAAATGAACAATTTTGTCACTGGCTTCTTTTATGAATGGAATTGGATGGTCGCATGAATGAAAAGCTCCATTTGAGCATCAGCTGAAATCAATCCTAAAATTTAATCTACCAGTCTGCAACGAAAAGGTTTAAAAAACAGTGCAAGTTATGCGCAGTTTCTAATCTATGCCGTTTTTTATTAAGTGTCTCATAGCTCCTTAATCTTGAGCCGCTTCTCTTACGATTCATTTTATGTGGTGCTTACATTGTTCAAGAAGTAGTATTCGAGCTCGTTGGTCTTAAAAACTGCTATCGAAGTAAATTAAAGTGTTTCGGGCTTCGGCACTTAGAAACCAATCGATATTGCCTAAGTGGAAGAAATGCCTAAGTGGGTGCGGGTTAGTAACCCGCACCCACTTAGGCATTTCTTTTCAGCGTCTTATATGTAGCGGAGGGGCGTAGAAACCCTCAGCCATTCATGAATAGCCAGAGCTTCGCTGAAAAATAAAAAAGAGCGAGCTGCTCGTGACGAGAGAAATCCGATGATTTGAGGGCCCTGGTCATCGCTGACGAGAGAAAGCCAATTATTTTTATGTCCTGGTCAATGCTGAGATCTTAGGTCACTGGTTGACCTCCCAGATCAGGTTAATAACCCAAAAGCACGGAAAATTGGGTCCTGCTAGAATTTCTACAAGTGAAGTTTGCTGGGACTTGGCTTGCTTCTGACTCCGAATTTGCACTTGCTTTGATCAAAGATGATGTATCAAAGCATTTGGGGT